GGCAGATGACATGACGAAGGAGCGCGATGACCTCAAGAAGAAGGCAGATGACATGACGAAGGAGCGCGATGACCTCAAGAAGAAGGCAGATGACATGACGAAGGAGCGCGATGACCTCAAGAAAAAGGCATGGTTGTGGTTAATATGAGGTATGTTTGTGAAAAAGTCCTGTTTACGTAGTAGACGGAAATCCGGTGGCGGACCCTTACATAGGATGGCTAAAGACCTCGGGATCCCCGCAAAAGCCGGGGTCGCTTGGATCAGCATTGGCTCAGTTCAAAAGTCTGCAGTTGCTCCGAAGACTGTCCACATCAAGTCGACGGAACCGATCTGGAGTTTTTGGTAAAAGCATGAGCCTTGAGTTCAGGTGAAATGGTCAGCATATCTCGGGGACTGGTTCAGCTTCGCGTCACTGAGGACTGGCTAAAGAACGAGGCATGCAGGCGAAGCTCCGCTCCGAGTCATTGAATTTTTGGGAGACTCGGTGACTGAAACTCCAGGTGAGTGTGCTGATGCAAGGGCACTCTCAAATAGAAGATCAAATGGGAAGATACCCTTTGGAGTGCCACTCTCAAACTCTAGGGTGTCCCTATTTGGCACTCTCAACTAGAAGATCTGGGTGTTGTTCAAGTAGGGATACCCTTTGGCTCGGCCGTCCCAAGGTCGAAAATGGGAGGTCTCCCTGTTTTAATACACACCCGTTTGGACATTATGTAGACGGGAGTTGATTTGGACCCATTTGGGAGGTCTCCCTTGACTGGAGAGTTCAATCATCTTCCTTCCATTTAGGATGTATTGTAGTCTTTTTTCGTGTAGGGATCCATTTGTCTCAAATGCCATTCAAATGACCTCCGTTGAGCTCAATATCTCATGTGCTCAAGGAGGACAGGTACTGTACAGTGACAGACTGCAGGCCGACCTTTTCTTTGAGCCAATTTGAACCATGTCCATCTCTAAAGGTTCCCAATCAAGCCCACCCTGTATAGCAATTTAAACCCTGGCAAGTACCCGTTCATCCAAGATTCTTGGAATCGTCTCAAGCTGCAATCCCAAAGCCCGCAGCAAGCGGCAAGTTCTTGCATTTAAGAACATCACCAAAACAAAATCTTCAAAAAGGCCAGCTGTTCCATATCAGGCTGGTTCTGGGAGGGTTGTGGCAACCCCACAACATCCACTCCCTTTGCATGGGTCTGTGTTTAACCACCACAGCTATTGGAATTGAATTACACGTGTTCAGACACCCAAAGTCCACTGGCCACGCATCCGCCCAATCTGCCAGACCTTGCGCGTGCTGGACATCGGTGGTGGCTACCCGGGTGACGTGCAGGGCTTCGAGCGGCCGGGATGACCCAGTCGCATTTGAGCGCACGAACATCCCACGATTCAACATCGTTCAGCTGGGGCGGTGCGGAATTTGGGAGGAAATCCGTCTTCAGAGTGACCTCTGGAGAGCTCTTTATTCGGATGAGTAGGTGGCCCCGAATCTGGCACCTCATGGCCTTGCTATCACTGAGCTGTTACGCGATTTACCCGACGAAGCTACATGCTACACGATTGAGATTTGGATCTTGACTGACAGTGATGGTGGTCCGTGGGGACGTGTAAATTGTTTATACGATTTGTGCCTTTTGTCCTCCTCTATGGTGGACGAGTTCTCCTGCACACCCTTAGGCCCTTAGAGATAATCCATACCTGTTGGGGATGTTCCCAAAGTTTTGTCAGTTTTGAGGAGGAAAGCAAACGGGCCGTAGGTTGAAAAGGATGTTGCAATAGTTGCCTTCCCAAACCCTCCGGACGTGATTCAACGCTTGCGGAACCCTCAACCCAAACTGGTTGGACCCGTTTCCACCGCGGCCATCCGTCTCCCTGGACGTTGTGGCGGTTTCGTCGGGTCGCCAGGATCGCGCCGGGCATCGCGGAGAAGTTGGGGCGGCTCTTCCCTCAGGCCGAGTACCCTGAGGCCCGGGCGAAGCTGGCGACCAGAGATCAGATCTTCACGACCAGCAGATCTGTTGACATCCACAATTGTCAGACCATGACCGTGGACTTGAACTGTTGCTGGGAAGTCCCAAACTGAATCCAAAGGAGCAAAAAACACCTGACAGGTGGCGTGTTTCGGGGTGAACCCACCCAAAAGTCTTCCGGTGGAATGTGTTGACACCCAAAAACATGGCATACCTTTGCCTTTTGTTCCTAGTGTATAACTAGCGTCCTTTGTTCCTAGTAGTAATGCCAGGTTCGCCCCGTTAGTAGCGAACCTTGTTCCTATGTGTAGCCTTGTTTTTCGCCAGCCACTCCGCCCGCGCAACACCGTGCCAGCTCCGGATGATCTCCGAGCCGGGCCGCTTCTTCGCTGCCGAGTCAGCGCACCTGCTCACGTGGCTCGGCAACACCGGTGACTTGAGGGGTACAGTGCTTGAAATTGGTGGATTGGTTGGTAGATGATGTGGACGTGGGCACCGTTGATCACTGTTTTGTCTATTTTCGGATTTTGGTTAGATATGGTTAAACAGTTAGATACTTGAGATTACTTGAGTTTCTTGGTTGGGTTGCATTTTTGTGGCTGGATATATTTGTTGCTCAAGCTCCCATTCATCTCAAAGGTCCAAGCACCCAACGAACCCGACCAAGTACGGACAAAATTGGCTCAGTCTGCCACGAACACCACCGAATTAAGACAAACAAAAGAGCACACTGGCCTAACCTCCAGATCCGCCACATCCTCGATCCCTCAAGATCCGCCACAGCGCAGCAAGAGCATGCGCTCTCCAGGAAGGTCTACGCCAAGGCGAAGCTGCCCTCCACGGAAGACCCCTCCGAGCAAGTGTGCCGCCCCTCGACGATGAGGCTGTTTCGACGAAGAAAGAGATCAGTGGAAGACATGTTCACCCAGACACGAGCTGTCTGGGGCTGCCAGGACGGACTGCCGCCCTGGCGAGGTCGACCCCCCCGGTCACCACCACCCTGGCCGTTTCTCGGCAGTCCGTCCTGGCACACCCAGACGGGTCGTGTTGGAAGACCACGAGAGACCACGAAAAAAGTCCGTCAGCCAGCTGGGGGATCTCTTTCGGGAAGAAACTGGTTGGACAAGGTGATAGGACATAGCTGAGCAGACGACCTTTTGTTGTGTTTCTTTTCCTTGTTTGGAACAAGCATTACTTGAACATTGCTCAGACACAGTCACCGGAGAAAGAGAGGTCTCGGCTGAGGTCTCAACCTCAAGCACCGAAGGAACCTAAGGACCCCTGAGAACGCCTGCGTAATGAGAGAAACCAATCCACTGACTGGTGAGTTGATGAGATCGGACCTGGTAAGTCAACAGATCCCGAAGAAAGATGATAGACATGTTGTGAGAAGACATGACGCCACTTTCAGCATTTCATGGCTATTCCCGTGTTTTTTGATGTCTTTATTTCATCCAGAACATGTTCCCCAAGTCCAGTTCCACCGCAGACCAATCACCCTGGCTTCCCCAGCAACGACCAGCCTCCCTCTTCACCAAGCAACGACAACGGACCGGCTCGAGCGCGGCCAAGGCTACTACTTGAACGATGGGCCTGGGACCCCAGACCGGTCGTGACGGCGTTCGGCGTGGTGGTGCGTTGGGAGCGAACCACCAGAAAGTGGCGTTGGGAGCGTTTGAGAAAATGGTCCATCAATGTATAATCCATCGAAGTACAATCACCTGACATTTGGGGATTCAAGAGCAAGGGGGATCAAGTTGAATGGTATACCTGACACATACCGTGACACATATTGAACATGGGTGCGTTCGGACTTGTGTTGAGAAACCACGTAGTGGGCAATCAGAAGTTGCAGGTTCAGGTCCAGTTGACTTAGTTGAGAGGCTTTGTGGTCTCCAAGAGAACGGTCGATTTGCCCTGTCCTTTGAGGCTCTACGGCTCCTTCAACTGCATCATCTATGACCACGTGTCGGTGCAGCCGGAACCCATGAAGGAGAGAACGAGACAGAGGCAGTGTATGTGATTGCTGGTGGTGGTTGGGAAAAATCATTAAAAAATCACCACCTTTGCCCGAATGAATGTCGACCTCAAATCCTCGTTCCACCTTTGTTGAGGCAGTATTATGTCATTTGCCTCAAACTCTCGTTGTTTCACCTTCCTCTTATAGCCTATACTTTTCGGATGGGGCTCACACCTGCCACGCACGCCGGTTCTTTGGGTTTTGCACCTCTCTCACGTTACCGGGCGCAGATCACCAGGTAGCAGGTCACCATGTTGCACCCCGCTTCCTCTCGAGGTGGAAAAGGGGTTGCCCAGATGCAAACAAAGGGCACAAAAAGCGGGTGAAAAGGGAAGAAGTTTGTGTAGAGGTTCTGAGGCTTGGTGCGCTGGGCAGCTGCCTGAAAACGTGTTGCCTTGGAAAGGGGGAAGGAAGGTCAAAGCAACATTTAGCTTGCTGACTTTTGTGCCACGTCATACTGCCACTATTTGCCACTAAAGCAGTATGAACCATAGGTGTCTACAACGGACCTCCTTGCCAAACCCAGCTAAGAGAAGAGATTCGATCCATAGTGCCTTCAGCATACATGGGAGGGGATGCCCCCCTACCACGGAATGTGGGTGTCTGGCTCTGGATGTTCTCTCACCAGGGAAACCGCATGGATATGTGTTCCGCCAAGTCAGTCCTAGACACCCAGAAGAAGCCCACGTTTCTGCCGCTGGTTCCGTGGGATGGTGATGACCGCAACTTAAAAGAGGACACCAAGGGTGCAAGAGTTGCTCCAAACACCAAGCACCGAAACTGGACATGCGTAACAAGAAGCTACTAGGGCTGCTGGCATCGCTACTAGGAACAAGGACGCTACAAACGGGGCTCCTGGCAGTACTACTAGGAGCAAGTAGCTACTAGGAACAGATATGAGCAGCATACGGCGGATCCAAAAGATTATCAATTTCAACTTCCATGCAAACATCCTCAGTCATTATTTGCCCTTCGGACAGTCCCCCACTCTCTCCATGACCGACGGCCCGTAGGACCAGCAGAGGCCACAGGTGCCTTGTGCCCTCTTTGGTCCCACGTGTGATGGCATCTCGGCAACAGTCGTTTGAACCGCTGATGCTGGTTTGGAGGTGCTGGTGGAGGTGGAGGTGGAATGCACTGTATTGTTTGTAGCAGTTTGGCCTTCCAAGGGCCATGGTCTCGCTTCCTGATGTAGCTCCACGTAGCGTTCTGCGTCGAGGATCACGTCGGACGCAGGACGTGTTTGACTGTGGGATAACATGGGTAACTGGAGAGACCCATTCTTCTGAGAGAGGTGTCGCGGCGCCTAAGCATTGGAGCGAAGCAGTTAGAGGTTACTAGAGGGTTACGGATGCATCCTTATGCTAAGCTGGTGTGAAGCACAGAACGTTTGGAGGTCAACTGACCGCCATTCACTAGGAGTCGAGTCAAAGCATGTCAAAGTTTCTCGTAGTCTATGGATTGATATGTTTAGGTATAATCCAATGACAAGGGCCGAGAATTCCTTCCAAGTACGCTGTTGCTGTTCACTCTGGATTGCATGTGTGTCATGCAAAAGTATTCTCCTCTGAGGCTTCGACGTGGTCTTGGAGAAGCACGAGATGCCGGAGTTGGAGGAGGGTGAGTGGGTGCTCTGGCGGAACATGGGCGCCTACACCTCTGCAGTTCCCTGGCAGGAAGCGGCACAGGGGACCGGAGTGGGATGAAAGGCGTTTTTGGGACCAAAGATGGCCCTGCAATGCCCTTTCTGGCGCCAAAGGGATGATTGGATTTGTTCCAGCTTGGCAACCCCTGAAAGGTTGTGTTGTCACTGTATGTCCCTGTTATTTGCTATGATTCATTCCAGTCGTTTTCAGTATGATCCTTTAGGATCTCAAGTCGCAGGAGTATTCATTCAAGTCGTGAAGTCTTCCCATTCCGCACTGGATCTCATGCTGTGAAGTCGCAGGTTGCTTGCAAGCGACGGAGACCACTTGATTTTCAGCACTTGGATCCAGGTTGCTTCCTAAGCTAGCACAGTCCTCAAATCCGAAGACCAACCAAGCCAACAAACCTTATGGTCCATACACTTGATTCTACTCTACCGACCCACTGGACGACCCACCACGTGTTGTCCGGGCCAACAGGTTGGATGTGGACGTGCGTGCAACGCGTCGGACGGCGGGTCCTAGGCTGGTTGCAAGTTCAACGGCTTCGCGCTGCCGAAGCCATGGTACTATCGTGCTTTGGAGAAAGCATCGGAAGTGAACGGGATCGAAGGGAACGGGCAAAAAAAGAATGGGTAATAACCTCAGTGAGCGGGCGGGTCTGTTTGTTGCCGCTAGATCTGGCAGGGTCAGCTAGGGTCTGGTTCTTGTAGAGTAAAGGGCCGCAATGGAAGGCTGGCCCTGGTTGCCAGGCTAGCCTGGATGCTGCAGGAAGATAAGATTGGCTCACATGTTACATCACCAGGTGGATTTGGATGGGTGTAGTGGTGAATGTATGTAGTGTCGTACATTAGGGATGTCCCATGACCATCCATTACCTATCCATTGCCTGTATCACTAATTTAGAGAAAGGATGAGAAAGGCCTTTACTAACGATCATGATCCATTGTTACAGGGAATTGCATGTATGCCCAAGTCATACTTTGAGCATTTCAGTTCCAGTTGCTACACCTTCCAGTTGCTACACCTTCGGATCGTGGGCACCAGGGACCCCGCCACTCCGCTGTATTTGTGGCAACCCGGATCGCATCCTGCACGGCGTTTCCCACAGATCAGCAGATCAGCAGACCTGGCCCACAGGGGGGCACCAAACCCGTGGCCAAAACTGAGACCCTCTCGGAATTCGTTCACTTGTTCAGGAGAAGCGACTTCTGGTTGCTTGGCCTCCCAGTTGGTCCTTTCGGTCCAGGTTGGTGCCACCAGTTGGTCCGAAATCGGCCCACCGAGGTGTGGCTGCGTATGACCGCAAGAGCCAGGCCACGTCGTGTCGGGTTTCGTGAGAAACTCGGGGGTGTAGAAGCCCGGTGGTGACAGATTCATATATGATATCATTATATGCGATATACATGCGATAGATGAACCCATCCAAAAAGAACATACAGCATGCATTCAAAAAACATGATGATGATGCTGTCTCCCATTGTTTTTTTAGGATGTGGTGTTCCCATATGTTCTTTACTCCAGCATGAACGATCCATGAATTCCTGAAAGACCTTTTTAGAGATTTTAGAAGAGGAAAACAACTTGTGGTTGGTGACACAGTTTGTCTTGCAGCTCTCAATGAAGATAGGGTCAAAAGAAACTGAACTTCCGTTTTGACTCAACACCTGGCAGTCATAATTCACCAGTAAAAGGGATTAAAGGAGTCATGACTGGGGACTCTCTAGTCTAGGACGATCCTTGGACCCGACACCAAGGTCGACTGGGGTCGAATCCTGCTGTGAACCAGGGGTGACTGGGGGCCCCGAACCAAACCCTTAGTTTTTGAGGTCCGGAGCCTCAAGGTCTCAGGCTCCACGACTTGCGAAGAACTTGTTTCGTTTGTTCATGAGATGTGCAAGCCAAAAGCTCACCACGATGCTGACATGCCAGAAATCCTCCGGTTCGACTGTGTGAGCCAAACGATTTCTTCACTCAGGCGGCCACGCCCAGTACCCAGGCGCTGCAGCGCGTGAAAGCGGGCCAACACAACTAGAGTGGATTGAGAGTGAACCAGAGACCCCAATGACCTATATACTCTCAACCACTGACCTATATACTCTGGTGATTGAGAGTGTTCATCACTATATAGTGGATATATATAGACGGCACAGACCCCAATGTCAGTAGTGAACAGATGGACCCCCATGTTTTCAGCACAGGACATCGAAGATACGTGCCATCAAATTGCTCGGAAACCACTGCAACAGTCAATCCTGGGGCCACCAAACGTCTGGTGGGTCAAAGCATGTGAAAGCAGTTATATGCATCCTAGTAGGTGTGTGGCTGTTGGTGGGATGAATGGACCACCGGACCAACCTGAAAACCGATGATTTCAGGGCGCCCTTGACAAACTGGTAGGGCTCAGGGGATGTGTGTTTCCCAGACCTATCAAACTTCAACCATTTCAGGGCTTCAGAGAGCTGAACATCGCAGGTGACCAGGAAAACGAAAACCACAGGGAGCACGTTGACAACAAGCAGGAAAGAATCTTCGAATGGATCGCCACGACCCGACGACCCGACGATCTTCGTGTGGAGTTTGGAGGGTCGCTTTGCTAGAAATGGATTGAGGTTTTGCCAGAAGTGATCATATTTTGTAAAGTTTTGACATGTATCGCCCTCAAAGCAACTTAGCCACAAAATAAAGAAAACAACTATACCATGACAAGCCTTGAAACCCTCTTACAGACTGTAGGTCTTGGATTCACCTAAACCATGTGTATCTGTATGTATTGGTTTTCGGTGCTTTGGAGTGACGGACACTTGGAGCCCCTCTTCCAGCCGCTGCATGGGGGCGCTGACTGCCGAACCACGCGGCACAGGCTGAGACCTGAGCTGCCGACCGACGTCGGGTCGCTCCCCCCCATGTCGGTGCTGAGTGGAGTGGAATCCGATGAAGGACACGTGGTTTTTCAGGTCTTGGAGTGATTGTTTGGTTTAAAATCTGAAGTTTTTGAGCTGAAGAGGGGGCAGGAGAACCTCTCAGGAGTTTTTTTGTGTTTTTTGATGCCATGACCATGCAAGGCTCCGTCTACAAGATGAGCAGGTTCATGATGGTACACACAACCCCGATGGCTTCTTGCCTCTGGTCCACTTCCAGGGTTTGGAAGCGACTTGATTGAGAATTGCTCAGCCCATTTGACGGCACCTCAAACAAGGTGGAAACCGGCTGGTTTGGGGGCTAAAAGGGTCGGTCCTAGCTGCCTTACATCGGTAAGATCCCTTGAACATGGTGAAAGACTCATAGACTTCCACCAGCCATGCCGGTTGAATCACTGCTGAATGGCTGTGCATATCAGGATAGGAAGAACCTCAACAGAGTGTGGTGTTCCCGTTCTTTCCCTCATGTTTGCTTCAGGATCTTTGGAGAGTGGCAGGTTTCATTTGTGACTCGGGTTCCGCAGATGCATTGCTGGCTTTGGATTTTTTGCGGCCGTTCCCGGCTGAAGAGCAAGGCTTTGCCTTAGCCACGCTGTCAGAACACGGGAAATCAAAAGAAGCTATCCCTATAGAGCATCAAGATTCCAAAAAAACAAAACTGGTCGACCTGCAAGCGATTCTTCCTTTTCCGCTCATGATCTCAAGAGCTGGACGTTTGCTGTGTTTTCCACCAAAAGCGGCGCTTCGCAAAATCCTCAAGACGACCGGAGCGGTCGACGCGTGGTCTGGCATCTGGTTTCGGCACCGCCGGTGTCTGCCGGTGCTCTGAAAAGCGGCGGTTCATGGATCGTCCGACGTGGTAACCCAGTGTTTGGCAAACACGAGAAACGAACGATGAAATTCGAAACCAGAGACGTCCTGATTCTAACAGGAGATTCTAGACTCTTTGGCCTACGGATTGTTCATGGAAAAATAACACATCTGACAGGAACTCAGGAAACTGCCACAAAGCATGAAACACCATTGCAACCCTCGCAAAACATGCAAAAATTGACTAAAAATACAACTGCAAGCCATGGAAAGAAGAGAGGGAAACCGCTGCTTGCTTCGGGGAATTGCTCCTACACAAAGAAAAAAGAAGAAAGAAAGCCTCTCTTGACTTGGACGAACCGACCAGCCAGAAAGCTCGCCCTACCTGAGGATTTTCCGAATCTGCTCGGCATGGGCGCTGGTCCCGTCCCGTCCGATCGGGGGGAGTTCTCGTCTCTCTCCTCCGCTCGTCCCGCGGCTTCGGCGCACGAAGCAAGACGAGAAGACGAGATGCTGTGTGTGTGCTGCCTGGCTGTGATGGTGGTGAGTCGAACCAGTGTTTGGTGGTGAGTCGAAGAGTAGCTCGTCGACCGGGTAGCGGCAACAAATGACACAAGGCGACCGTCTTTCGTCTTTGGGATCAGTCTTTTGGGGCAGAGAGCAACCCTTTGAAGCTTCACCATGCACCGACGATCGGGATCTCCCTCTCCCAGTAAGGGTTGGCAAGTCTGACATGTTCCAGGAGTCTTTGTTTTCACACCGCCACCTGGCGCTGCAAGGACGGAGAAAGGTACTGAAGTAGCACAACTGTGGGATGGCTCTCTTTGGAAAAGTCGCTTCACCACCCGTCAATGGAGCCGCGTTGAAGTCTGCTCATGTCTATAACAAGTGAGCTGCCGGAACTGGACACAACAGGAAATGTGACCGTGAGAATCGAAAAATGCGAATGGAAGTGCAGCGACACGTACAGTGCAACTTGTACATATATATGTACCATATGTACTTTGGCTCAAGGATCAAGCGACTAGAAAAGGTGCGGTTTCCGTTCCGACGCTACGCCGCTTATGGACCGTCAGTGATAGCTTCAAACTTCGCTGATTAAGATCCACTCGCAGGTTATCAGCCGTACGCGCTCTTTATAGCCGTACGAGCTACACGAGACCAAGAACAAGACTAGTCATTACAGAAACCTGCAATGTCAAGCTCAGGAGGAAATGGAAGCGAACCCTATTCATTCGCTGCTCCTGGTGGTCCCAACACCATTTCGTCACCAGACTCTACAATGGGTACTGATTCATCAGCAAATGCTGACGTTATCACTATGCCTACTGGGTCACAAATCTCGGAAAGATCCGTGCCACCGGCTCGGAATCTGACCGATCTTGCACCCGTAGGACCAAGAAGATCGATGAGAGCTACAACAAGATCTACATCGCCTATAACGTCTACCGCGAGATCCCCAAGAAGGAGTATAGAGAAGAGACGTGACGATGATAGAGGAACAAAAGAGCAAAGAAGAGAGATTCAGCTGGGTGAAGAATTGAGATCGGCGAGAAACGCATACAATTTTCTTCATGAAGAATATGAATGCATCCAAGCCGGATACTCACGACTACACCACGAGGCTGAAGTGGAGTTCAGGCAAATGTCTGACTACAACAGGAAGATGCAGGAACATCTACAAGAGATGACACAGGAAGATGAAGGAGCGACAATAAGAATTGAAGAGCTCGAACACAAGCTACGCTTGGCGGAATCGACAGCTGAACATATCTACATGAGATATCAAGAGCTTGCACAAGAAACTCATCAAGAACATTCAGAGCTTGAATCTGTGAAAGCAACGAAGGACAGAATGTCCCAAGAGCTTCAAGCAGCAATTGGACACATCCAAGAACAGAATGAATCTTCATTGGCGATCAATAGAAGATCAAAAGCCATTCAGGATGAGAACACAGCCTTCGTCGGAATAGCTGACCAGATACAAGCTAGAATGATTGCGCTACAGGATGAGAATGTCAACATGCACGAGGTGATCCAACACCAGAGAGAAGAACAATGGAACAGTGAGGTCAGGGAAAGACGTCTTCAACACAGTGTTCACTCATCTCAAGATCAGAGCAATCAGGAAGCTATGGTTATTGATCATCTACGAGGTCAACTAGCTATGGCACGTGGAGCTGAACTCAACGCGAGAGCGGAGATAGAAGAGATGGAAGTGGGCATGAGGATGGAGATATTTGTATGCCAGACTGAAGTCTCTGCTAAAGAAATGGCAGAAATGAAGGCGAGCCACCATGAATACGAAGCAAACGTCGCAAAGGAGGTTATCGCAAAAGGAGAAATATTCAATAACGAAGTCCTAGAAGGTTCCATCCGTGAACGACAACAGTTGAAAGACGCCAACCTCGCTCTATCCGAAGCCAACGCACAGCTGAAAAGAGAGAATATGATGAGAGCTCCTATGTTCGGCGATGATGGTGCTGAAATTCAACAGAAGATCAGAGAACTGGAGAATGCACTATTGGAAAGCCAGAAGGAGACAAAGAATGTCATTATGGAAAATGCGAAATTAAAAGCAGAAGCACGAATGGCACCCATAGTCTCTCGGTACAGCAAGCGTCCTAGTTCCAGAGACCGCGGGTTACCAACCCACGTGTCCGAGGAAGATGAGATTCGGAACGCAAAAGAGGAGGCGAAGCACTACAAGGACGGGTACAATGAAATGACAGAGAGCCGAGATGAGATGTATGAATGGTATGCCGAAACCCACAATGAGTACGCCGAGGAAAGGGAGAAATCAATTGAGCTATCCGAGGCGAACAAATCATTGAGGGACAAGATTTCAGAGGCAGAAGCATCCTCTTCATCTCATCTTGCACCGGCAACCTCTACAATCATGAAAGTATCGAGGAAGGAAGAATCAAAGATAAACGTTCCGTCATGGCCCAGGATCAATGATCTTGGACTATGGAAGGCAAATCTCATTCAATCGATCATCATTGCGGCCAATGATTCAGATCAAGAGCCCTGGATCGACTGGATCAAAGAAGCCATGGACGATCCTGATCCGGACAAGTTTGTCGACTCAGGAGACCAAAGATTCCATTCAATCGATGCCAAACTCGGCCTAGCTCTTACCAAGGTCGTCATGGATGCGAAAGATGATGGTTCAGGTGTAGCTATGAAGTTGAGGACGAGGATCAATGCAAAAGGGAGAACATCAAGCCTCATAAAGGGAAGAGAGGTCCTAGCCCTGATCCTTATGAATTTCAAGACAACATCAAATGTGGAAGTCTTATATACTTCAATGCACCTCTACCAACTAGAATATCAAGGAGACAAGAACTTATCGTTGTTCTTCCACACTTGGGATGAGATTCTGGCAGGAATGAAGCCCGTTGACGTCCCGAGCGACGAAACTCTTCGGGATCTCCTATGGAGAAAGATCAGGAACTCAAACCTCATGGCATACGACATCAGCGCCTACAACAGCATGAACGACGATGATGCCAAGAAGACATACAAACATCTACGTGATATGATCAGAAGGCACATCGAACGGCAAACTGAAGACAGGATGATCCTGGAAAAGGAGAAGGCAGTGAAGAATGTGGCCAATATCTTTCAGAATCTCAAACCAGGCGGACCTGCTACAAAACTGAAAGCTGCACCAGCTGATCCGAAGAAGAAACCAAAAGGGCAACAAGAACAGGTTGTCTCAGAAGACGCTGCTGCAGTGAAGCCGAAGCCCAATCCCAAGAAGCATCCTGAAGACAAGAACAAAAAGGGAAAGGGGAAAGGTAAAGGTGATGGAAAGGATCGCAGCCGAAGTCCGAGTACAGACAAGAAGAAGATACCATGCAAATACTTCGTGAAAGGTAACTGCACTATGGGGAAAGATTGCCCATTCAGTCACAAGAAACCCAGATCACCATCCAGAGGATCTTCTGTCGGAAAGAATGACAAGCCAGTATGTTGGATGTGGATTCGAGGAACGTGTGACAAAGGGAAGGATTGCAAGTTCTACCATGACCCAAAAGCCTCTCCTAAGAAAGGGATATCTGCACCAGCTGACTCAGGAGACGATAGGCCAAAGCCCAAGGCAAAACCCAAACCGAAGCCTAAGGCGAAGCCTGGAGCC